TTTTTTATGTACCTTTTTCTGTTTTGTTCATTTGCAGGGTTTCAATTTGATCAAGTATAAAGTACGTTGTATATCTAATTGTATCTTTCCTTTCTTTTGCAGCCATTGGAAGACTGTGTGAAAAATGTAAGTTTAGGACTTTATTGGAAAAAATTTCATTTGTTTGTTTTACAGATCTTTAGTTAAAGAAAAAGTAATCACGTTGTGCTTAAACAAATACTGTTTAACAGTAGAAAAATTTCAACAAGACTTGAGTTACCAACCATGAGCTCCAAGTGATTGGTAGAAGTAGAGCTGCTTACTTATGAAAAAATGATTATTTACCATGTTTATGAGTGGGCAATGTTGACCGTAATCTTATATATGTGATTTTATTCTTAATTTATTGCAAAATGTAATCAAGTATATTTTTCTGGAAATAATGAGGCTATGATATCAAAGTTTTAAATACCTGCAAAATTTCACAATTCTTGATACCAATCAGTTTATCGATTGCCACAGCAGAATAGGCTAACTAATGTAAGTAAAAAAACAAAAGTCCTCAAACAATTATTGGAGACGCCGCGTAAACAGTCAGCATTTCTGGGTAGATTATTTGCAAGTGATAGTCGGTTACTGATTCCAAATTGTATGATAAAATTTGTAGTAAAATAATGTTGTAATGTAACGTAATCCATTGCATTACTCGTTCAAAGTAATATAATCTGACTTTTGATTACTTTATATTACTTAAACCCATTTATCTCATTGAATAGGACAATATTGTTCCATATTCATATAAACACATTTTTCTTATTTCATTCTTTTTCAACAACACAAAGTGCATTAAATGTTACATTTATTGAATATTACACATCCTGTTTTCTATTCACATTCTCTTAAAACATAACCTATTGCGTTTACGTGAATGCAGTAAACAGAAAGCCACTTCCGTGTGATCGGGATGGTATTGCTATGATGTTATGCTCTTTAACTCAACTAATGTCTGCTTCTTTTCTTTTTAAGGTGATGGCAAATGTGTTATCTGTGACTCTTATGTCAGGCCTTGCACACTAGTTCGTATCTGTGATGAATGCAACTATGGGTCTTACCAAGGGCGCTGTGTGATCTGTGGAGGTCCTGGAGTTTCTGATGCCTACTACTGCAAAGAGTGCACCATCCAGGAGAAAGATGTGAGTAAATCTGCCTGATCATTCTTTCAATGACTGATGCGAAATCTCTTTTGCTCAGTATCAAGGGATGTGTAACCATATTTTCCTTCATTCAGTATTTGGGTAACTGCTCCTCATATTGAATTTTCAAATGTAATTATGATGCATTAGGTTTTGGATGCATGCTTTTTATTGTATTACTGGAAGTTTCTGAAGAACTGTCTGTTTCACTGTTTTTCAGAGAGACGGCTGCCCCAAGATCGTGAACCTCGGAAGCTCGAAGACTGACCTTTTCTATGAGAGAAAAAAATATGGCTTCAAGAAGAGGTGAAGAAACGGGGATTTAGTTTGTCGCAGTTGTGCAAGAGTTTTCCATTTTGTTGATACAATAAAACGTTTTGGTTTTTTTTAATGTCATGGTTTTGATTATTCTGTTCTGTTTGATTTGATTTTATGCCATTGTAGGGGAATTCACAGTTAGAGACCCAAGGACCAGATATGATTAATGAAGATCATGAGTCAGAAATGCAATTAATTGAAGAAAATTAAGAATAATTTGCATTTTCATCAGCAGAAGTCAGCTTCCACACTCATCCCTGCGTACACACTCATTACAGCAGCAATTCTAATCACACAATCACTACGCTATGACGTCAGGTTGAATGATTCTTATTGGTTAAGGCACAGATAAACTTTCAATATTTCTATTAAGGACACCAATCTGGGTTTCTAGGCTCCAGTTTGTCTGTCAGATAGTCAGTCCTCACGTCGTGCCAGCTGTTCACCTCGTGAACGTCAGGTCTTGTACAAAAGAGTAGCAGAAATGCACGCACAGATACATAGCTTCTTCAAGGTTGGAGTTGGCCGAGCTCTTGCTCTGATCAGGAAACTGGCCCAAAACATTGTAAGTTGTACTTTCTCACAGTTAGAGGTTCAGACAAAATTCCTCATTCTCTAGTGATTGAAGATGAAAAAATGTTTTAACTAAGAATTGGTTAAGTAGGAGAAGGGCTTGAGTGACCCTGGTGACCTTGACTGTCATGGTCAGCTAGAAGAGTAAATGTATGTTTACATTGTTGGGTGATTAAAGGAGTAGTTCACTTTTAAAAAAAACTTTTGCTGATAATTTACTCACCCTCATGTCATCCAAGATGTCCATGTCTTTCTTTCTTCAGTCGAAAAGAAATTAAGGTTTTTGATGAAAACATTCAAGGATTTTTCTCCATATAATGGACTTCAATGGGAACCAAACGGTTCAAGGTCCAAAGACAGTTTCACTACAAACTGTTCAAAGGGCTTTAAACGATTCCAGATGATGAATAAGGGTCTTATCAAGCGAAACAATCACTCAATGATCAAATCTCAAAGCTCAAATGCTTGCCTTGCTCTGTTCTGTGATGCGGGTTCGTGACTCTCCTGTTCGAACTTGTTTATCGAAATGAACAAATCTTTTCCGGAGTCGATTTGGTTCGTTGAATGAACCAAATGACACGAAAAAAGATTTGTAATATATAATTTACGAATAAATTTAATCATAATTTACCTGTGTTCAAAACACTGCTCTCAAATCATCAACAAAGTGATCAAAATGCTGTACACTATCAAGCAGTCAGTAAACAATACACCAAACAATTTAAAACACATTGTTCAAAACATATAGTTCTTTTGTCAAAACAAATCTCAAACAAACTTCATATTTTTTCATTTTTACAGTCCACAGCAGTGCTCTGTACTACAGTATACGATACTCAAACAGACACAAATGAAAGGAGTAAACATGTGATCAATGTGCTTCTTGTCTTTGGCCTGGATCAGGCCAGAGCACTTCGTCGACATCACAAGCAATATTGTCCCTTGCCCCCCCTCCTCCTCCTCTTCTTCCTTCTCCTCTTCCTCTTTCTTGCCCTCCTCCTCGTCGCCCACTTCGCATACGCCCTCGTCCTCTCACATTGTTTCTTCTATCCATTCTCAGACTTTCTCCTTTCCACCTTCAACAACCTCTCAGTTCAGTTTGCTCTCTGAACTGGCTTATATTGGTTGTCACATCATTTGAAACAGGTTGAATCAGTTTTGAGGTTGTGTTCAATCAAATGACATGTGTTCTCTATTTGTATTTGGTTGTTGCCACTTGTGTTTACCAGTATGGATGACATATGCATTAGAGTGCAGAATGTGTTTTGAGAATGAGAATGTGTTCAGAGTTTTGCTGAAAAGTCTAAGTGAGGTCTGCAAATTGTGTTTTACCATGTGAAATTGTTTACAGTATTGACAACAGACTCCACAATTAGCTAAATGAGTTCAGGCAACTGAGAACTTTGTTCAGCCAATGGATTTTAGTGTTTTAGCAATTGAAAAAAACTGTAAATTTTACATGTGGTGTGTGGGGTACTTTCTAAAGAGCCAAAAAGCTCTTTTTTTTAGTTTCATCTGACCACAGAACCCTGTGCCGTTTGAAGATCCAGTCATATCTGACCACTGAACATGCTGGAGTTTGTTTTTGGAGGAGCGAGGAGCATTTTTCTTAAGACCCTCTCAAACAACATGCAGGGATGCAGGGGTTGTTTGATTTTTTTTTAATAGGCTTTCTGACCCCCAAGACTCAACTAATCTCTGCAATTCTCCATCTGTGATCCTTGAAGAGTCTTTGGCCACTCAAACTTTCATCCTCACCGTCCATTAAGAAAATATAGACACTCGTCCTCTTCCTGGCAGAATCATAACATCTTTAGTTGAATAAAACTTCTTAATTATTGCCCTGATGGTCAAAACGGGAATTTTTCAACTCTTTAGCTATTTTCTTACATCCACTTTCTATTTTGTGAAGTTCATCAATCTTTTGATGCACATCAGAACCATGTTCTTTGGTTTTACTCATTGTGATGGATGATTGAGGGAATTTGGCCTTTGTGCTTCCTCATATTTAAACTCCTGTGAAACAAGAAGTCATGACTGAAAAATTTCATGTTCCTAGTCACCCTGGTGTGCTAAAAAGGGTAAATATTAATAGGAATATACTTCATAGACATTTTATTCATAAAAAATTCTAGAGGTATGAATAATTGTGGCCAACGTGTTTTGGAGAAAAACATTTATTTTATAATGTGATTTCTCCCCCATTTTCAATTCTTCTACTTCACATGAAGGCTGGATTTTTGCCAATTTTTTAAATGAAAGATCAAAAGTATAAACTGCAAATTTATGTTTTACAGCCATTTTTGTATCATATTTACCAGGGGTTTGATTAATTCTGGGCACAACTGTATATATAATTGCACAGCTCCCTTTGTCAATGATCTAGCACCCAATATCGTGAGAAACCACCAAACAGATATACCCTTACAACCCTAAGTGTAACACTCAATCATTTTTATTGTCTTTCTTTAAACATGATCAGTATTAACATACAATATTAATCAACTATTACATTCATATTTATTGATGATATGTATATAGAGTATTTTCAAATTGTACTTTTTTTCCAGTTAAATATGTACTGGAGAAAAAAAATACATTTTGGGATTGTATGGGCTTGTTCTGTATGGACATTTATTTATTTTATTTGGGCATGTCTTTTTTTTAAGTCTGTAAAAGGTTCCTTGTTAGGCGTTGAGAGTTGTTATTCAGTGAATGTTAGATATTCTTGACTGAAATGTGACCGCTCCACGAAAAAACCCCAGATTAAAATGCATCACACTGCCTTTTTTAGCCCCACCCACTTTGTGTTATACAACCCTTTTTTTTTTTTTTTTTTGGTGTGTCTGTTACACAACACTCTACCATCTGTAATTTGAGATTCAGCTATAGTCATAATTCAATGCGCTGCTAAATATTGTTAAAATGACATGTAGGTAAGACAATTTTTGAGTTCTTTAATAATATGTACAACACGAAACAGACAAGACACAAAGAAAACATTTACAAGTCAAAAAAATGTTTAAAAGACTTACAAAGAAATTTCTTTCCTCAAAAACACAAAGACCAATAACAATTAGAAAACCATTCAAATCTGACAAAATAAAGATTTGTAACTCCAACAAAGTTGGCATCTCACATATGCAACCGAGTTCTTTTCTAGTTGATTAGAAGAAATGCTTAATGACAGGCAGTCACTATTCCTTTCAGAACAGCCATTAAGCCTCATTTTATTTTATTGTTGTTCCTCGTTTCACACTCATCAGAAAGGAAGCTCAAGGAGAAATGACAAACCGTAAACATTAAAGAGTGTCTACAGACCACAGATATGAGAAAGTTTAAACACCCGATTGAAATGGAGTCACATAAGCTACAGAAAATGTTATCTTCAGCGTTTTTGATCAAAGTTAACTTTGGTCAGGATTACATTACACATCAGATTCCCTTTCCACAAATCATGAAAAACGACAGAGGTGGTCACACGTAATGCAAAATTAAACTTGGTAATAAACATCTGCCTAATTTCCACTTCACAACAATAAGCGAGAGCAAAAGATATTGCCCGCATATGAAACCGTTATCTCCATTTTCTTTCCCTGGTGATATTATGGATGCTTCTCAATCGGAAGGCTGCATATCCCGGCTGTCGTGCGTTTTTTCTTATTCGCGATTCGTAGGCTGTGAATTGTCAAAACACGATTCAAACTGCTTGCTATGGATTCAGAAAACCGAACCCAATCTGATTTTTTTTTATTACGGTCGAAAGTTTCAGAGGCTGTGAGGTCGTATTTTTATTTTAACGTACGAACATTTTGGACGCGAATTTCAGACTCAGTGTGCAAAGGCCTTTAGAAGGCAGCCGTCGTTTCGCGTCCTTCATTCAGCTCAGTTTGAAGGATGCATCAAGTTTATACTACAGGTCCTCTAATTACCCACAATCCGTTTTTACAAATGAATTGTGTAAACATGAACATGTGACATAGCCAAGCGCATTTACTAGGAAGAACGCAACCCTAAGTGTTTCAGAGAGAAAGAGTTGCACAAAATATGTACCTGAAAAAGTAGGACAGCAGAGAGCAGGGGGCTGATGCCCTTTCAAGAGGTTTGAGTTTGGTTTCTGATGTGTAATTTTAGCGTGCTTTACAGGCACTCCGCTGAAGACACTTGTGGATCCTTGTTGACTGAGCTAAGAACGGTGTGGTTCACACTGCGAAGCCATTTTCTGGAAAACATTTGAAGTTATCTAAAAAAATATACATCATATGATACATATGGAAAAAAAACCTTACTATATCAGCACTTCATTTGTTTTGCTGAGTTCCAAACAGAAACAAGATCCGTCACATGTGCAGAGGGTTATTTCTGTCCATAAACTGACCTCCATGAGTCCCAGAAAGGGTGAACCAGTAAACAAGGTGTGGTTTAGGAGATCTAACAGTTATAATGAAAGACTCCATCTACTGTAAAATTGTCAAGTTTTGCAGATATACAACAGTGCAGTGCACATATTTCCAGTACGTTTTTTGATGAATTCTAGCACTTGCTGACACACAAACATTTAACAGGGTTTTTGTTTTTTTGAAGCACAAAAACATGATAAATGTACATTACCTGCTTAATGTGTTTTTTTTTTTCTCAGTTACTTGTAAATACATACTTTTGAAGTGATACATTCTCCCCCTTTTTCAAGAATAGCATTTTAATTCTTTTGCAGATAAAAATGCACATATAGTGGTAAAATGCACCAAATTTGTTAAATGAATTCTTAGAATCAATTAAATTTTTTCAGGGATAAACAAGTATACTAAAGTCAATGCCAGTCATTCTTTATGAATAAAGACCAGTGACTTCCAACGCACATTATTCCTTGAGTTAAAACTACCATAAAACGAGAAAAGGTAGGGGGAAAGACCTTTTCAACAACGCAATGCATTACAAAAAAAAAAAAGCACCCAAAAGCTCTATTGGAAATATTGGGTATGCTGTTGCACTGAATATAAGATTATTATATTGATAAGAGCGGCTGACAGGATTCATAATCATATGAATATCACTTAGCTTTACAGTCTGAATTATTGATTCACTTATCTTCTGTCTTCTCCTCTTCATTCCATACCATTATTAATTTATTGCCTTTCGACAATGCAACTAAATCAATAATTGTTTAGAGGTCTTCAGCTGGTCCACTTGAAAAAGAAGAGAAAGAGTTGTAAATCACCACATTTGTAACAGTGACCTTCTTCACTTGTAAGAGTTAGTGTTTGTTCATAAGTCGGAGTGCGAGCTATATGAGCAAATGCAATTTGCAAATGATGCAAATTCTCTGTCTGCACAATTGTCTCTTACAGTTGCCCGTATTTGGCTTCATAGCGTGCCACCACGTTCTTGCAGCGCCCGAAGTCCTTGCGTAACTCTGCCACTTCCTGCCGCAACACCGAGTTCTCTCGCTCCAGGAAGGCTGCTCGTACTGTGATCTGATTCTCTTTAAGCCGCCTGGCATCTCGTGAGCGTTTGGCTGCAATATTGTTCTTCTTCCTCCGCTGCCAGTATTTGTCGTCCTGAAATAGATAGTGGACATAAACGTTGTGAAAAATTTCGTGAATGAAGGTGAAATGTTTACAGCAGTTCTTCTAACCCTAATTGATGGCAATTCCTTGAAAGTCTTGCTGGAGGAGACTTTACCGAGTGCTGGACTCTTGCATTGTCAGTGCAAGATCTTGACCTCTAGATGTAAATAAATGCAGTGATGTTATTTCCATCAAGAGGTGCATCCATTTTTGGTGAAGATCTTGTATTGTAAGAGTCCATCACTCTGTAAAGTCTCCTCCAGCACATCCCATAGACTTTCAGTTTCATGTGTGAAAATGATTCTTCATGCTCACTCCCAACCATTGTTTTCACAATTTGAGCCTGATGAATCGTGACATTGTCATCCTGGAGTATGGCCATGATGCGTCTTCCTAGATTGTTGTTTAAGAAATGAAAAGCCACACACTTCATCAGAACTGTTGCCAAACATTTAACATAGGGCTGCGAAAAGATTAATCGCGATTAATCACATCCAAAATAAAAAAGTTGGTGTTTACATAATATATGAGTGTGTAGTGTGTATAATTATGTTGTTAAATAAATACACACACATGCATGTATTTACTTTATACAAAATTAATATTCTACATAAATACAAATATTTGATATATTAATAACACATTTTTCTTAAATATATACATGCATATGTGTGTATTTATATATACAAAATAATTATACACACTACACACACATTTATTATGTAAACACCAACTTTTATTTTGGATGCGATTAATCGTTTCACAGCCCTAATTTAACATGCCAGAAACATTATAATCACTGCAATAATGATCCAGGCATAGACCCTCACGCATTTGCCTATTTAAATCCAAACAGCGACTTTTTAAGAAACTCCCTAAAATAATTTTCACCAAATTAATGTTTAGTGTGTAACAGTACAATTAAGTGTTGGCACTCAGGCACAAATACTTGCTTGGCTTTCTTGATCAGAGTTCAAGTGTAATGTTACTCAATATTAAGGTAGTATTTCTGCAATGTTTTTTTTTTTGTATAATTGGCATACTCATAGTTTTTATTAATAATATGAATTAGTATTTATTTTTATCCTTTCATTTTAGCTAAGGTTTTAGTGTATTTACCTTCTTCTCCTCGGGCACATATATTTTCTTTGCTTTCTTGATCATAGGCTGAGGCTTCAGCTCCTCCTCGGAGAAGCGATGTTTGCGGGGATTAAACAGTTCTCCTCCGGGTATGCTGGAGAGCACAAGGTCTGTGGGATCCGGCTCGAAGTTGATCTCTACCTCGATATCCTCTGGATCAATAGGCTCTGGTGTCACACGGTCCTCATCTGTGGTGAAAAGTCAATGAGTGAATACCAAAAATGAAATGAAATTTAAATATAGTTCTGTTTTATTTCCTCCAGGCATTATTTGTTATTCTAATTGAATGTTTGAACAAGCTGACTCTTACAGTCAGATCATCATGAAAAACAGCTTTTTTAGTGAATTGTGAGAGAAAGTACATTGTGTTCGGTTCTCCTTCTGCTGACCTGATTTTGTGTCTGTTGAGCTAGAACTGGATGTCGTGAATGTGACCACTTCCTCCTCACATTGATCCAGTTCCATGACTGGCATAAGAGAGATTGCTGGGTCTGTTTCGCTTGTAGAGGTTGTGGTTGGTTTTTCAGTTGTCAGGAGTAAGTTTTCCTTCCCAAGACTCTTTTGCTGACCCTCGTCTTCTGAAGCAGAAATGCCATTCTCCATGAGAAATTCCTCCAGATCCATGTATTCCAGGTGGAAGGTTTCGCCATTATAGGGAATGGTCTTCTCCCAGATGGCAGGCGTTAAGGCGGCTGATGGTCCCATTCCACTGACCCCTCCAGAGTCCACATCCTCAAATAGTTTCTCTTTATCATTATCTGCAATATCAAAATTACCGTATTAAACTAATTATGACAGACAAAATATTTTGTTCCAATCCCAGATATTGCATCAGAAAGACAGGCAATCAAACACATAGAGTCTAAACTGAAAGACAATAAGTATTTAGAAAGGCCAACAAAGGTTCACCTGAGAAAATCTATTTAACAAAAGATGTGACGAGATTTGGCAGATAACTGGAATTTAAGGGGGGAATTGTATCAGTGAAACGAAAATTTTGTCATCACTTCCTCACCCCAAAGTTGTTCCAAACCTGTATGTTTCTTTATTTTATTGAACACAAAATAACATATTTTGAAGAATGTTGGCAACCAACAGACAGTTGACGGCACCCACTAACTATGAAAAAAATACAAACATTTTTCAAAATATTTATTTTGTGTTTAATAGAAGAAAAAATTCATACAGATTTGGAACAACGTTAGGATGAGTAAATTATGACATTTTTGGGCGCGCTGTCCCTTTAATTTCATATATCGTAGTGCAGTTTGCTTGCAAGATTCAGCATACAAAAACAACATTTTAACATCTACATAATTTGCATGAACATTAAATAGTAATAAAGTGACGAATCGTTATTAAACCAACTGAGATCGGACTTTAAAGAACGATTCATTTAGGAAGTGGACATCACTGGTTCCATCCGGTTTTTATGAGTTAGCAACATTAAGTGCCGCGAACCAAGTTGTAAATAGCACAAAAACACGTTCTGTATTTACATAAAGAGGCAATGATACCTGGTCTGTCGTTGTATGAACATACAAGATGCATTTGAAGATAAGAATTCTGCAATGCAGCGACCGCGCGCCCGACAGCTGCAGGCAGAGGCACTTACCGCCATCATCGCCTTCCAGAAGATTCGGTGGAGGAATTTCCATGATTTTCTTTAAAACTACTGGGAAGGCAATCGGAGTATCAGTGCCCGAGTCCATCGTGACCGAAATAGGCTCCGCGTCCATTTTTACCGACGCTTCGGACAGCACGTGAAAATAGCTTAACTTTAAAAAACGACTTCAAATCCCTGGTTTAATTACGAAAAAATATTTAAATTTCTTCAATACTTTGGGTACGAGGGAGAAAAAATTAAATCACCTCGCCAGTCGACACCTTTCAACTCACAGACTCTATCTGTGTTGCCTCGAGTCTCGACCCCATTTTCCAGTTAGCTACAAAAGTGTTTTAATATCCACGCCCCCTCTGCAGAAAAAAAACAACGTTTTTCGATGCGGATAGGTTGGTTGTGGCTCTGCTCTCATGAATAATTAAGTAGACGTGACGACACAGCTAGGTGTCTGTGCGTAAAATGAAGGTTAACGTTAGTTGTCTTCAAAAGCTACTACGCATTGGTCGGCGGTCAAAACGGTTGTATTTTTCACTAATGACACGAGACCCATCTGGATACAATGACGATATAGAGTATGTGCATTTATGCCACATGCAACTTTAAAATGACACGAGCCATTTACGCTTCTGTAATTAATAGACCAATTTATTCCAAATCAATTAATTTTACAATTGACCTTCAAACATTTACTTATAACAAGTAATAAATGTTAGGGATTAACATAATAAACAAGCTTGGTCATTGCACTTAATAAGCTCATGTCTCGCGGGAACAGACAGGATCTTATCAAGCCTACGGGCACTGGCACATGGCCTCGCACGTGCACTCATGACACGTTTGTGTGCAAACAGACCAATCGCAAAGCAGAATAGATACAAGAAAAATATCGCATGTCTCACGTGTAGAGTTAGGTTGTAACTTGCCCTTGTGACATGGGAAATACAATTTATGTTATTCGGTCATTATTGCACAGTTAATTGATATCTAAAAAAAATCTGTCATATTTAAAATATCTGTCCCACTTTGCATGTCTTAATATATTTGACAAAATCATATCGTTCTGAATATGCCTTCTCCAAGTGAAATAAAAAAGGGGGTTTTTTATGTTTGGTTTATATTTATGCAATTAATTGCTACACCAGTAAATGTAATCTACACAGAAACCTTTATAAAAGGCAATCTACATGCTGCCAAAATGAAATGACTCATTGAATATTCATTGATAACTTGCTAAATAAATAAATATGTAAATTGGAACAGGCCCCAACTGGGGAGAAGGGAAAACTAGGTTAAGGCATTTTTGCTATAACATTAATAGTTTAATTGCATACATCTAGACACTGTTAGTAATGAAATGCAGCCACAAACAGATGTTAGAAAACAATTTCTTAATACACAGTATTTATTTATTAAAGAAAATATTCACGTTCATCAAAAAAAAGCTGCATTTCTTGTTAGTGGGATAAAACTGGAAACACAAACAATCACGTCACATTTTGAATCACTTGATCTAATGCCTAACGTAGTATCTAATGTCACAAGTAACGTTACAATTCTACGGTATGACAATTACAGATTCGGCTTTATAGTGGAAATACAGGTTAATAAGTGTCCCGATGTACATGTATGCTCAATAAGAGAAATTCTTACCACTGTCATCAATCGAAGGGACAGAGAAGGGGTACTCGAGCAAAGATTTGAATATTTCCGGAATTTCTGAAGCCATGCCAAAACAGTAACGTTATCAGTATCAACACCTGGGGAAAAGGCTGGATGCAGACGCTTAATCAATTAAACAACAGCTTTCAGCAAATCAAACTGTCTCTCGCATTAGAGTAATTCAACACTGAGAATTCACAAACTTTTTATCGCGGTCACAAGGTCTGTAGTGTCCTCATGTTAACACGAAGTTACTTAACTAGTCACCCGCCTTGTTTTCATAGGGTTGAACGTTTTGACCAATGAATATCGTTTCAGTCTGCCTTTTGATTAATATTCAATACGCACGGTCGCTTATTTATGGAAGCTTGTTTCCGCCATTGAATAAAAAATATAATAAAGAATTGTGACTTTTTATCTTACAATTCTGACTTTTTTTCTCACAATTCTGACTTTTTTTCTCACAATTGCGAGTTTATATCTCACAATTCTGACTTTATTTCTCAGAATTGCGTGATATAAAGTCGCAATTGCGAGTTATAAAGTCAGAATTGTGTGTTATAAAGTCAGAATTGCGAGATATAAAGTCAGAATTGCGTGATATAAAGTCAGAATTGTGAGATATAAAGTCGCAATTCTGAGATAAAAAGACAGAAGTGTGACTTTTTTTCTCACAATTGCGAGTTTACATCTCGCAATTCTGACTTTATAACACATAATTGCGAGTTTATATGTCGAAATTCTGACATCTTTTCTCAGAATTGTGAGATATAAACTCGCAATTGCGACTTATTAGGCCAATTCTTTTTCCCCCATCAGAAGAGTTTAAATCTCACAATTCTGACTTTATATCATGCAATTCTGACTTTAAAACTCGCAATTGCGACTTTATATCACGCAATTCTGACTTTATAACTCGCATTGCGACTTTATATCACGCAATTCTGACTTTATGTCTCGCAATTCTGACTTTATAACTCGCAATTGCGACTTTATATCACGCAATTCTGACTTTTTATCTCGCAATTCTGACTTTATAACTCGCAATTGCGACTTTATATCTCGCAATTCTGACTTTTTATCTCGCAATTGCGACTTTATATCACGCAATTCTGACTTTATATCTCGCAATTCTGACTTTATATCTCGCAATTCTGACTTTATAACTCGCAATTGCGACTTTATATCACGCAATTCGGACTTTTTATCTCGCAATTGTGAGAAAAAAAGTCAGAATTGTGAGATAAAAAGTCGCAATTATTTATTTTATTTTTTTATTCAGTGGCGGAAACAAGCTTCCATACTTATTGGTCATTCAAGCTGTGTGTCTTCAGTCCGTGAGCCAATAGAGATCCAGACAAGTTATCTAAGGCAAAAACATCTGCGTGTCAGTGAGTGTTACGAAAGTGTGTGGGCAAAAATGTCTTTTGAACGGCGCTATCAGTGTCATTCACATTACCAACGACAGAGAGGCAGACATCATGTATGTCGAGTTAAAAAAAAAAATTAGGTCAAAAATAGCTAGTAGACTAAATAGCCATAGACTAGTTATATAAATGCATGAGAGTATTGGATGAAAAAATGCATGTCGTACGGAGCGCAGGTGTGTGTAATGAATATGCATAGCCTAATACTAATATCTTTGACCTTTTGACCTTCGTACCAAACACAGTTGTAAAAAAAAAAAAGTTTAAAATAGGCCTAGAATTAGTATTGCTCTTTTACCGTTCCACTAACCGTGCAGATTTATTTGCCATACTTGTTTTGAGTTCCAGTTCCTTGCTTATCATACTTTTCACTCAAGTCACGTGTCTGGCGCAGAGATGTTGAAATCCGGGTCTTTTTTACAGTCTATGGTCTAGATGGAATCGTCACCTCTCACCAGTCACACCACCTTTCGCCCAGATTCATATCTCTAGCCTCTTTATGGGTCTGCTTTTACCCCGTTACCGATTGCTCTGATTGGCAGAGACATCATTTTGTGTGTCACAAAGATTTCTGCTTCAGTTGTAGATCAATATATGCAAAGAGTCGATATTTAGGTGTGTTAACTCTTCTTCATAACCTCTGCTTCTAGACAAAATCCTGAATGATGACAATCCATTTTTGTCTTATGATTAGTACTTGGAGTAGATCACAAGTTGTGGCCTTCTGCTTGTCCACATGCCTTTTTCAAACTCGGATTGATCACAGGTTTTCTCTGAGTTTAACATCCGAGGTGTTTTATGGGTGGGTATGCATCCCAAATTTTATTGATCTGAATGCCACTTCATTATCACTCTTGATTGTGACATGGTGCCCCATCATGCTGGAGGATCTTGCAGGACATTTTGACATTCTTTATTCATGGCACTGGCAGTGTTTATGGGCAGAATTGTGAGAGAGCCTCCCTCGGATGAAAAAGGAGGCTCACACACACGACACAGGACTCAGTAGTAGGGTGAGTGATTAAGTGATCTGAGGCCGCGGGCGCTTCGGTCTGCGCAAGCACTGGAAGGCGCCAGAAGTGATCTCTCGTGCAGTTGTGAAAAAAAAATTCAACTTTGTCTGTTGATATATCAAAATCATCTTCCATTGCAATTTCCTGTATATTTAAATATGTGTAGATCTTCACAGTGAAGGGTAATGCTTCTTAAATCTCTGTGTAAACAATGAGTGACGAACACGCGTGAGAGATCACTTCCAGACCAAAGCGTCCATGCCCTCAGATCACTTGGCTGTGGTAACAAGAGGTAAAAACAATATAAATACTGTTCGTTTTCTCACACAAACCGCTCGTTTCGTGTCTTAGGCCATCAGTGTGTACTTACATTTACGAGTCATTAAATCATGTTTAATTTGGACTTCTCTGTGCATGCTCTTTGAGGTGGTGACCATAGACCTCCATTATATGACCGACAGACAAGAACGGTTTGACCTAAAAATATCAAAATTGAAAATACTTCAATTTTAGACACCTACATCTTTTGATGCCCTACTATCACCTTTAACTGGTCGTGTTGTGGCAGGGCCAAAAAAGTGTTTTTGTTTTTTTCACCAATTAACTTTTTGGCAATTATTTAGAATTCATCGGACCACTCTGCACAACAATCTAGAAACAATGTGAATAAACACCACAACATACAGAAGCAGCAAACTTAACTAAATTTATGTCACTGCCAGTGCCAATACTGTAGACCTGGCGTCCATTTTCCATCCGTTTCAAGCCACAGATATTTAGATCACCTTAAGAAAAAAAATAATGTGTGAACAAAATGCTAGTTTTGGGCACTTGTGATACATATACAGCGACTGATCACTAAAAACAACTGGACGTTCTAAAACGCTTAACGTTTATATTCTGGTGGGTTCATCTACTTGCATATTCATCATCAATAAATCATAAATTGAACTGTCTTACTAAGTTATTACTTAGTACAAACCTGGTAAAAATAACTGGTTGGCAAAGGAGGAAAGCCTTGTTTTGCCCTCCAGCTACATATACCAATGTGGCACCACATGAAACCCATGAATTAGGGAAAATGGACATCAGATTGGACAAAATATATGTAATGCAGCATGAGTAATCAATTGTTTTAAATCCATTCCCACGCAGATACTGTAACTTTTAAATGCATTTCCTAAAAAACATTTTGTTATTGTTCAGTACAGTAGGATATAGATAACCTCAA